TCTCTCTCTCTCTCTCTCTCTCTCTCTCTCTCTCTCTCTCTCTCTCTCTCTCTCTCTCTCGTCCTTTCTCTCTCTCTATCTCTACCTCTCTCTCTCCTCCCTCTCCACCGCTCTTTCTCTCCCCCTTCACCTTGCCCCCCTCTCTCCCTTCCCCTCACTTGGCATATGACTAACCCTTTTCCCCTCACTTGTTACAATGCCAGGGTGCGAAAAGTAAAGGGAGATCAGACCTCACTTGGTGGAGAGAGAAGGCAAGGGAAGGGTAGCCGGTCCTTTGTGCCACCAAGAAGGCAAAGAAAAAGGACGTTGGAAAAAGTGGGAAAGGACGAGATGCGGAGATAGTATGAGTTAAAGCGAGGTCAGTTTGACTCAACCATTTCCCCGACTGCATGACAATGAGAAGAGGATGGGCTGATTGAGCAAAGAAAAGGGAAGAAGAGGCAGCCAAAGAGCATGGAAAATTAGGCATGTGGGAAGGGCTATGTGTTGACCCTTAACGGGGGATTGTATGGATCTTTGCTTGCGTGGGATTGTGTAGGTAAGTGATGGCTAAGGATGCTTTGAGCGGGATAGGGCCGGGAGAAACCGGGAATCAAAAGGAAAAGGGAAGAGCGGCAAAGGGGCTACGAGACCCTTAGCATAACGTCGACCCATGGAAATGACCTTTTGCGTTTGAGGATTTGGAGTGTGGATGAAGTACAATCTTGCTAAGGGAAGTGTGAAGTTAAATGTGCATGCATGTAAAGGCCCCGGAAAGACTAAGGGGCCTGCGTCAATGGGATTAAATGAGATGTATGAGAATCGATGGGCGCGTAGAGGCGAGGGGAGGGACGGCTTCGCCGCGCCCCGATGATGCCGTAGAGTTGCGAGGCTTAGGGAAATGGTGCGCGGCCTAAGGATGACGCTTAGCCTGCGCACAAGAGAAGAGAACTCCCAAAGAACCTTTGGACTGCTTGAGTATTGGAAGGAGCAATTGTCTGAGAACATAACTAAGAATAAAAAAAAAATCAGCGATTGACCGAATGACTAGCGAGATTGCCACCCGGCGTGAGGGTTGAGCTACATCCCCAACGTCAAAGCTCTCTCGCGTGATGGCCCACCCCCATGCATCTCAAAGCACTAGGTGGGGGTGACCCTGGGACGAATGGCCCGCGCCTTGAGCATGAGCGTGGGCGGGCCGAGCCAACTGGGACCCGCAGTGGGGTCGACTAAGGCTCGGAAGTCTATCGGGGTTTGGCCCTACACCTTGACCTGATTGCTTCGTCCAGGGCCCTTTAGAGGCTACGCCTGTCTCCCACCAGCTTGCTGCCCAAGAAGAATGTCGACTCTCGAGGTTGAGCGCTTGCAACACCTCACATCGAGAGGACTCTCAAGACAAGACTCACTTCCTCACGGTAAGAAGCAATGAAGAGGGTAGATAAGGAAGAGAGCAACGTACCTCATGAATGTTGCCCCCAACCACAAATTTCTCACCGGCAACCTGATGTACAATTATGATGACCGGTCTTTGCCTCGGCACAACCAACGGTAGAATGCGGTTCCACCTCGACTTAATATGCCACATCAGCGAGCTCTCATCATCCAGCATACACCCCGTATATCACCACATAGCTCCCTGGCGCGCCCACTCTACCCTGGGCCGCCTAATGTGCAACGCCAATGCCTTATCACTGCCCCACACCTCATGCGAAGCACCAATAACTATTGCGAAGAACCAATGAAGAGCAATATGAACCAGCTCCGATACCATATTGCAAGGAAAATAAGCAACAGCGAGATGAAAATTCCAGATTACACAATCACATTGAAAGCCAGATAGTCACACTGTGTCCAGAGAGCAGCATTGCACCAATAATACACCAATGGAGGTTCATAGTATTGAAAACCAATGTCATGGAGAGCATACTCTCTCCTCATCAACACAAGAGTCCAGTCCCTTCACTCTCGTACTTAGCGCTCAGCGCCCAGCCTACTCCTAACACAACTACTACAGCCTACTAATTGACAATGCAACTGTTGACATCAGCAGCAACCCGAAGTACTTGAAGATGTCGCCCATGCAGACCATCGCCAATACAAGGTAAGTGCCCTCACATCATCATCATCATCATCATCCTTCACCTATCCCCTGATTTTACTCCCACGTCAGTCCTCTCTTACACCCAAAGACCACCCCTGCGCCTCACTGTAGACCAAGCCCACCAGCTATGGTGGCTGCGCTATGGCGCTGCCCTCAACAACGCCCTTCTTCCCTGCACGACTGCATGTGCTGCGCCTCGCCTCTCAGCGCCAGCCAGCAGCCGCGAGCTCTTGCTCCAGCAGCGCTGCCGCTAGCAATGTGAGTGCCTGAATAATGCTGCCAGGGGTGGAGAGCTGGCTTGCTCGCGGCTGCACTGGCCTAGGCCCAGAAGCTTCCGGAAGGCCCCAGGAGGCTGCCTGTATACAGCAGCTACTGGGCTGCTGGGCCTCGTTCGGTTGGGCTCCCAACTGTCTCTGTATGAGGCTGCGAATCACGCCCAGGGCCTGCATTCTTTGGAAAAGCCCGGAAGGCCGTGGAAATGTCTTTATTGCCCGGCCTGAGTTTCTTTCAACCAACTGGGGCGTCGCAACTGCCTAAACCCCAAATATGAAATTGATAGTCGAGGGCCTCTTGCGATATATCAGGCCCGCCTTCACTTAGGGCGGGCACCTCCGTCTTCACTTAGGGTGGGCAATGCTGTAAACAAGGCCCCATAGGCCTACCGAGGACCCTGATCCTCACATTTATACCTTGTCGAATTTTCACTTGGATGTAAGGCGCGACCTGAATTCTTGTCCATTTGGTTGAACTGAGTAGACACTTTGTACCTGTGGCAGCTCACCTCCCCAGGTGCTCTATTTGAATGTCACACTAAGCCCCCCCGTGCTTTGTTTGAATTTCACTTCACCCCCCTCCTATGCTCTATTTGAACACGGTGAGAGAGGGGAGTAGGTAGGGGACTGTGGCCGCTGCTGCTGTTGTTGTTGCTACTGATCTGAGGCTACTGCTGTTGCTGCTGATGCCTGGCCAAAGCCTTGCTGCTTCTGCTGCTGAGAAAACCGTTGTCCAGCCCCCAGGGCGGAGGCCGGTCCGGAGTGGCCAACGGATCGGTGCGGCTAGGGGGTGCCAAAAACTAACTCCGCCAAAACAAGGGTTATGGGGGTTGGGATCGAGCAGGTTCCATATTCTAGGCATATAAAGATGGCATGCAAAGCCGTCAGGGCGTCTGAGTCCATTTTCCTGCGAAAACGGAAAATGAACTTCCTCGAACTGTTCACTCAGAGCCTCGGGCGGTGCCTGAAACAGGCAAGCAGCGGCAAACGACGACGGAATCCGGTCAAACTTTAGGGAAGTCTTCAGTAGGGTATAGACAAAGGGTCTATGGAGTTACGTGGACATCTGACGTCGTTTGGGTCAACAAACATAAATCTGTGTTTTTCAGCTCTCCCTCCCCTAGCAAAATTGGCAAAATCTGAAAAATCGCAAATCTGAGTTTTTCGCAGTCTGAATTTTCTTGCAAGTCGGAGTTTTTCTTGCAAAGTCTGAGTGCCTGTGCAAATCTGAATTTCGCAAGTTTGGGTTTTCTCTTGGTTCACACGATGAGACCTCGTAAGTAGGACGAGACCGGAAGCTTGGGGTCCACCTTACCCAAGCACCTCCACACCTTCGTCCACCTCCACCTCCTTCACCCATCCACCATAGCCAAGCACCTTCACACCATCTTCCACGTCCACCTCCTTCACCCATCCACCATAGCCAAGCACCTTCACA